TAGTTAGGTATTTAGCAAATCACAAGAACTCCATGGTACGTACATTGTGAAAACACGCAAACGTTCTGATGTACTGTAGAGTCCTAAATGTTCATATACTCCTAAAGTTATTTAATTTTGCACCGGCTGGATTAGAAAAATGCAAATACACCCGTAGAAGGATTGCCATTTAGGCCATACAGGCAGAAATGGAAGGGAAAAACCGTGAGCAAAGCTTATTGTACTCACAATTCTCACGAATTTACCATGGGCGGGCCGATGCTTAGCCTACCGGCATTTTAGTATTTTCATTGATCGCGTATCAATATTTGTTATTTGCTGGTATTGACTGATACGAGATTGTCTAAGGGTCCAAGGGTCACTAAAGGACGCGCGAAGGCTAATTCAGTTTTTTTGAGTGCAACCCCATTTAGAGAACCAAATGATTATTTTTTTTTGGAAAAAAAGAATATCTATCACCAATCAAGTGCAGATCGGCTCCAACGGTAAGTGCTTTGTTTGCAGCTTTTGGTCAGTGTAAGCCCCTGCATTTTGAGATATTTGTCTACCACCTATCACCCTAACATTTAATTCAGTTAGGACTTTTAAGTTAGCGAGAATAAACCTACCAACATCACACGACTACTATTCAAAGCAGTTAGGATATAAAGGAGGAATATTTTAAAAAGGAAAGTTAAATCTATATACAGTTGCAGAAACAACTCAACAACAAAGAAGTTTGGATTCAGACGTCTAGCTCCGCATATTATGCATTTGAGTCCTATAAACGTATATGAGGAAATATCCAATTCGCTACTCAACAAAAACGATTATGATTTTATCGAATCAAACTGATCACTTCTGATATTTTGCCATCGTTGTTGAGAGGGTGGACAATCCGAGATACCCGGAAGGCTGAAGGTATCTAATAGGATTTTTGATCAACACTAATTAGCTTTAAGAGTGCTAAACAACTCTGACAAATTGATTACTAACTAAATTGAGTGCTACAAATTTAAGGACAGTCACTTCGTTCAGTCTGAATGAATTATTATAATTGAATATTCGGTCATAATACATGATAGAGTAATAAAAAATAAAGGATTTTCAACTGTTGCCTGACGACTCCTAACACTAGTATGGCTTGTTACACATTAGCACGCGAGCACTACTGACGAGCACACACCCAGCTGATCCGTCATCCAACCATGTCGTAAAGTACTCGCAAAGACGCGCTGGTATCACAGCGCCAGCGGCATATTGCAAACGATGGGGTCGCCAGCTAGAACAGTTAAAACTACAGCTACGACCGTTACAACCACCTCGAGTGATGGCACCAGTAGCCGTCGGCGTTTCCGTTTCTGCGGAGCCTTTTGGAGTGAGTGCACAAGATAAGTCGGTCGCCTCGGCTTCATTATCATCAACAGCAAAAGTCAAAGGTTTGTCCAACAGTTGATTGCCCATATCGATATTAAGCGGTGCATGGGGGTTCTCACTTATATGAGGTCCACAATGACTTTCTTGTACGCAACCCTGCTACTTATATTGATGGAACCCATCAGTTCCATTCGGCAAACATGATAAATCTTGATGACACTGAAAAGAGTATTTTCAATCCATGGCGTGGCCGTAGTCATACAAAGGGACGAAGCTGCTAGCTAGAAGATCTTTCCACTCACAGATAAATAAAGAACATCTTTTCGAACTTACTGTGAGTTGAACAAAACGATATGCACAACACCACACAAATATTAAAGACTGTATTCCTGCAGTAAACTACGTTGAAGAACCTATTCCTGTTGTCATTGGTACTTGAATAAGTTAGTGGCGTGAGTTGTGTGCGATAGCTTCTATGGGTCCGGCTATTTGACGAGACGCCTACAATATTAATATGCAAGAATAACGCCGATTGTAACTTCTCTTGGTCAAGGCACAGGGGTGATATTTCCTTGTAGTCTTATGCAGCTGAGCTGGCGCCACATCGTAGGTATAAACGGCAAACTCAAACACGGATTCTCCAGCTATCCATCGGACAGTGGACCCGCACAACGAAATCTTCTCTCCGTTGTGTTTTCCTGGTTGCCTGCCTATAACAGGTAGTGTATTATCGGGAACCTCGGTCAAATGACATCAAGCAGGATACATCAAAAGGGCCGAACAAGACCATTACATAGTCCCTAGTTCCGTTCTGTCTATTTGGTAAGTTACTCATTGAGAAACACGCCATCGACTGTGAAAATGGCAGTGCTGAGAGAATTAACTGAAGTAAGTTACAAATACGAGACTATTTAGGCTGCAAGTACGTAACAACTTGCGGCCAATATGCGGCCAAAATCCTGAGATGTAAGTGAACGCGGTAGTGGCATCGAATTTAGGTCTACAGAATTAGGTACTTGGTATTAATACAGATAGCTATGTACTCAAGCAAGACACAATAGAAGTGTGTCTTGAGATTATATATATATATATATATTGATAGAAAAAAGTAACTAGTTTCATAGTAGCGCTTTCGTGAGGACAACTGTGCTATAAAAATTGGCGATGAATTTAGTGCAGGTCCCAGCGTGACCCCGAGGGCGTGCCATCATTGATGACAAAGAAAAAGAAGATTATGGTTATTTATAATCGAAAATCGGAGCAATCTGCCGGAAAAGTTACCTAGTACGTTAAACATACTATGTATGATTATTATGTATAAATACATAACGCAAGTAAGATAACTTGGTGAAAGAAGGATTAAGAAACGATATCAGCTGCTGGATAGCCAGTAGACAAGTGCTTCCCTAAAGGTCTAAAATGTTTCCAGATTATTTTTCCAATGTTAGCGCCCACAAATATCGATATATGTTATTTTAAATTAAATAGATAACGTTGGCGGTCTTAGTAATGGATTCATAGAATATGATGGAAGATGCTTTCCGGTTAACGTTGTCGTTAACTTTTGTCGTCTACCATTTACCTCATTAGAATATACTGGATGTATTTTAGTTGAATCAAGACGAAAACAGCTGAGATTAGCTTCTTATATAATAGCTAGATAATAGGCCTATAAAACTGAATCGTGACGTACGCGCTTTCGTCTTCGTACACCTTACTCATTGAATGGTTACAGTGAACGGGGCCTCTATAATACAAATTTGCTAATCTACTATATAGTCCCATAGATTCTATTCGAGAACTGTGGTTATCACAGTAACGAGATAATTGGTATATA